TTGTCTGCTTCTACCACCCACATATTTAATGGGTGCTAGACAAAGAGAAAGGTCAGTATCAGGGGCAGGAGTCCCCAGAGCTCCTCCCTGCAACCCCAGACCACCTGTCAGGGCAGGCTGGACTGCTGTAAAGATAGTCCCATCCAGCAGAGGGTCCCCATGAGAAAGGAAGGCATGCAGATTGTCCCAGCCAACACAATGCCTGTGGTATCTACCCTCCTTCCCCACCTGCCAAACCTCTATCTCCAGCAACAACAGCAAAACACTGAAGAAACCTGTATTCAAAGAAGAGAGAGAGACTCTTAAGCAGGCTCAGCATGAAGCTCAATGCAGGGCTCGATCCCACAACCCTGAGATAAGGACCTGAGCTGAAATCAAGGGTCAGACACTCAACTGACTGAGCCACCCAGGTTCCCTAGTTATGGCATTTTATTTTTCTGAGCTCGAATAATCAAATACACATTCAATGAGGTGGTAAGTATATTCCCATAGTTCCTTAGAAGATGGATGGCAAGACTAATAAGAAATCAAGGTGAATGTCGTTTGTTTAAACAATAGCCTTATTAACAACAGGGGCAAATAAATGCTGATCCCATGAAGAATACTGGAACAAGCACTCGCGGATAAAATACAGAAATACATGCTTTAAGAACACATATGATCACATTTTTGTTAAGAAATAAGTCTTGTTTGGAAACAAATCATCCCTGAGAGGAGTCTGAAATTAACTTCTGATAGCCAGACAGCCACACTATTGATACATTCCAATCACAATTACAATGTGCTCTTAATGTGAACATTCTAAATTATTAGTTACTTTATTAAGGACCAGAAAAGGGACTTCTGTGGCATAATGAGAACACCTTACAAGCTTCGAGAAGGGAAAAACCAAAAGACAACTCTGCATGGAGCTGGAGAACGTTGGATGTAATTTATGTAATAAAAGTGCTTAGTTTCTCTTTTCTGTTTAGGAATTGGTACACCCTTAGGGGTTCAGACAGCACCATGTTTCAGAACTGCTCTTTCCAGGGCAAGGTAAAAATGTGTATCATAGAAAAATAACAATTTATCATTGTAATGGTTACATCCCACTTCAGAAACCACTAGAGACTGCTTAACGTTCTTGTTTCAAACATGGTTTTCCTGAGTCTTCAGGTGACAACGGATACTGATGCCAGAAGGCTTTTTTTCCCATTTGTTCCTAATAAAAATGGCTAGATTCTGAGTTCATTTTCATCTGGGGTGACGTTAAGGTCTGTGCTTTCGTGGACTGATCCTTTCCTTCCCTCCTCTGTGCTCTTTCTTCGAAAGTCTCCAAAGGCAACATCTGGGTCCGGTCACCGAAGACAGATGGGCTCCCTCTACTTCGTCCCCCATCCCTGCGGGACCTCTGCCGGAGGCGCGGCATGCTATTTGAATGCAATGATATGCTGACTAAATCGTTCCTGCACGGTGCGCGCCGAGTGCATTCCTACTGTTAGAACCTATTCTGTATCTGTACAGGCCTCCTCATTACGGATGGCTTTCTCTATCTCAAAACATTCCTGGGATTTCCAGATGCTGCCATTGAACAAATTCTCATTATTTTGCTTCTGTTCCTTTATACAGCCAAACGGTCCTCCTCTGACATTGCAGGGGGCCAATTTCATAAAAATAATCACTTTTGCTACTGTGGTTATTAACCAGTAAATGGTTGAGAATCAATGTGGAGTTCTTTTGCGCTGTGGCGACATTAAATCCTTGACGTTTCCTGCCGGTGTTAAGACTTCATACACTGGAAGCTAACTTGCTTTCTCTTTCTCTTATTCTTACTCTTATGAAACAAGCATCTAAGTGTTCCACTTTGGTAATAGGAACTAAGGTTTTTTTGTAGAGTAGTAATTAACAGTAGTAACAATTTTTTATTGAACCCTAATGATGGATCATATCTAAGGTAAGCGCTTTCAAGTATCTTCTCATCAGCCTCATGAGGTAAATATCACATTATCTCCATTTTGTAAATGAAGATGAGACTAAAGCTCAGAGAGGTTGATTAAACCACTCACAGTCACACAGCATGTAGAGGTAAATAAAGCCTCTGCATTCAGTTAACCTGACTCTGGAGCCCAAGTTCTCAACCCTCACACTAAACTTTATTAGGCTCTCGACAGGTGAGACGAGTGGCTCAAGGAGTAATGGTCAGTGTTTCCAAGGCAAAGGCATGAGTTCAGGGATACTTTGATGCCCCCTTTCATATTTAATCCCATCTCTTAATGTTTATGTTTAGAAGTATTTCACCTGGGGGCACCTGGGTGGCTCAGTCTGTTAAACGTCTAGCTCTTGATCAGCTCAGGTCATAATCTCACGGTTTGAGCCCCACTCTGACCTCGAGGACACCGCTTGCGATTCTACCTCTCTTATTCTCTCTCTGCCCCTTCCCTGCTCTCTCTCTCTCTCTCTCTCTCTCTCTCTCTTAAAAAAAAAAAAAAAAAAAAAAAAAAAAAAA